GGGCTGTGTATAACGTCCGGCCGCTTTGCTCACCGCTTTGCTCACCGCGAGCACGGCGGGCTCAGACCGAGTGAAAAAAAAGAGCAGTAAATCTCCGCGGTGGGTGAGCCTCGTCGCGGCCCGCCAGGCCCAGGCGCGCAAAGTATTTCACAGGGACGAGGAAAAAAACGAAAAATAATAATAGTAATGGAAAGGAAAGCGTCCCGCCTCGTGCATGAACATTGCAAAAGAGGATTCCGATGTTAAGGCTTGTTTTGTTATCCCTTTTGTTTATCTAGACGTTGAAGATGAGGATAATCTCGAATAATTATGCCTAAGAAGAAATAGGCAGAAAATTAGGCGCCCGATACGAAACCTTTGTCGTCTTAATCATTAACCACTAACTCTTCCTCTGTCTTTTGTTGTTGTTGTTGTTGTTGTTGTTGTTGTTGTTGCTGTCGTCGCCGTGGAGTAGTTGCTGCAGTAGAAGTTTGGCACTTAGCAACACGACGACGACGCGAAAGCCCCCCGCCGCGAGGCGTCCTCCCCCGCCGCCCGCTCTTCCCCGCGGGGCGTGGCGGGGCGTGGTGCGAGCAGTGACACCCTCTCCGGGAGGGAGAATCACAACAGCGGTAATGAACGGAACAATAAAGATAGCACGCTGCTCACTCAATAAAGCCTGCTGGCGCCCCCGCCGCGCCCCGCCACCTCCCAGCATCTCGATCAATACGCGCGGGCCAGGGCGGGGTGTGCCGGGGGGCGCGGCGTGGCGCGGCGTGGCGCGGCGTGGCGCCGGGCTGGCGGTGCGGCGCCCCCGCCCCACCCCCTCACACACACAGTACCTGATTATTACATCCGCGACAGGACGGGACGCTGGTCCGCCCCGGCCCGGACCCGCCGGCCGGACAATGGCCGAGCGCCGCGCAGCGCCGCGCTCTCTGTCATCCGCGACGGGGCACCGCCGCCGCCGCGCGTCAAAACTGTTGCGAGGCGAGGCGGGCCGACGAGCGGCACCCGGCCGGCACCAGGCTCCTCTCCAAAATATTTATTGCGGGCCGGACGAGCAGCAGCACGGCGACAAGCGCGGGCGGGCGCGCGCGACGGCCCCCTCAGCTTCGCTCGGGTCAATTCTCCCCGCGACCTGCACCACCACGCCAAGCCACGCCCAGCTCAGCCACGGCCGCCCCGCGCAGCAGGCACCTCAAACTCCAACACGACTAACTACAACAGCGGCGAGCGCAGCCAAGCTATGCCAAAAACGGCCAGCAGCAGCAGCCAAGAGGAAAAGAGCCGAAAGAAAAGGGGAAAAAAGACAAAGCCGCGGACAGGAAAAATAACGGGAAAAGGCACGGCGGCTGCGGCGGTCGCGTCTCGCGCACACCAATTTCGCGCGCGCGCCCGGCGAGTAGTGCACTTTTTTCTTTCCTCCGGCAGGCTGCGGCGGGGCGCGGGGACCGGAGGCAGGGCGGGGCGCAGGGGGGGCCTGCTCGTGGCAAACTTCCAGCGCCGTAAGAGGGAACGGGGAGTGGCGAAGAGCGGCGCAGACAGTCGGAGTACCCACCACCCCGACCCCGCCCCCGCCCCTTTGCTCAGCAACCCTTCCTCCCAGCCCTTCCCTACTGCTTCGCTCGGGCGTTGCTGCCTTGTCCGCCTGCTGTGCCTGCCCCCGGCCGACCCCGCGCGACGGAACGAACATGCCTGACCCAATTCGATACCGCACTACCAACCAAGCAAGAGAACCCCTTCGCCTTCAGCCCGCGCGCGGGCCGGACGACCGGACCGGACGGAGCGGAAGGGGCGCGCGGTGCGGCGTGCGAGTACCCCCATGTGGAGTGGACACCACCGGGACACACAGACAGACTGTGTCCGACCCGAGGTCTCCATCGATCGGGAGGACCCCGGCCGGGCCGGACAGCCCTGGTGGTGCCCCGGTCATTACCGCCCCGACACACCTTGCGCACCGCAACGTGTTTGTGACAGCAATGTGCTGTTCTGTCTGTTCGCTTCACCTCCATCCGCTCCGCTCTGCTGCGGGGCGGGGCTGGGGAGGAAGGGCAGCAGCAGCAGCAGAGAGAGGAGGAAGGGTGAGAAAACTCCCCTTCTCTACTATACTAGCTCGCTCCGATACGAGGAACGCGGAGCAGTAAAAGCCTAATAGAGACGAACAGCGCGGCGCGAGAGAAGGACTCGGTCGTACTTACACGCACACAAAGACAAACACACACACATACGCGCGCGCGCGCGTGTGCACACACAAACACACCTTTTTATTTTCGCAGGAGATTTGTCGGGGCGGGCCAAGCACCGCAACGGCCAGGAGAAGAGGACGCGAAAGTAAATAAGAGGAAAGAGGTGGACGGGAAATAAAAAGTTAGGGGGGGGGGGAGAAACACACACATAGGAAGAGGGAGGGGGAGTGAATCGGCGATGATCGCTGTGGCAGGCCAAAGCCGACGACGAGATGAGCCCTCTTTAGCCCCTCTCTTTAGACCCGCCGCAACCCCCCGTCCCCTCTCTCGGGCCGTCAAGCTGCATTGTTGTTGGCAAAGCGTCGAACAATGGGCCGAAGCGGCCCCGCGCTCCAGACAACAACACACTGCAACTAATTGTGTTTCCACGTCACTCCGGGCCGTATACGTAAAGGCCAATGGCGTCGGAGGGGCGAAGGAGGGGAGGATAGGGGGGAAGATGGAGGGTGCGCCCGTCACACTAATCGCGATCAACGCGGGGACAAGTCGCGTCGACTCTCGTCATCGGCCGAGCGAAAGAGGGAAGGGAAGGGAGCGCGCGCGCGCCGATATTTCCCTGCTCCGCTTCCCGGCCCGGCGGCGCATGGGGGCGCGGCGCGGCCGTCAGGAAAGATTCGCCATGAATAAAAACGAGATTTCCCAGAGCAGCTTCGGCGGGCCGGGGGTCCGGACCGGGCCGGGCGGCGCGCGCCGAAGCGAAACGTCGCCCGATAGTGAAAAACCTCTCTTCTCCCGCTGCTGCCCGCCCTCTGGGCTATGGGCATGGGCTCGAGAGAAGAGGGCAGGGGAGAGGGACAGGAGGCGGGCACGGCAGGCGGGGCGGGACACGGCGAAATGGGAAGCCCCCCCCCCCTCTCTCGCTCTGTTTGCCCCCCCGGGCGCCCGGCCCAGCTCATAATCCTCACCCCTTCAGGAGCGGCAGGCCGACGCGGCGAGCGCGCGCTCACGCCAGTATTTTAATTTCCCGCCCCGCCGGGGAAATGAGCGCCAGAGGCCAGAGAGAGAGAGGGGCGCGCGGCGGCGGCGGCATCGGGGGACATCAGCCCGGCAT